TGCTGCTACTGCTGCAGCAGCAGCAGCAGTAGCAGCAGCAGTAACAGCAGCAGTAGTAGTAGCAGAGCAGTAGTAGCAGCAGCAGCAGCAGCAGCAGCAGCAGTCTGCTGCTGCTGCTGCTACTGCTGCTGTTACTGCTGCTGCTACTGCTGCTGCTGCTGCTGCTGCTGCTGCTGCTACTGCTACTACTGCTGCTACTGTTACTCCTACTGCTGTTACTACTGCTGATACTGCTACGACGGCTACTACTGCTGCTACTGCTTCTACTCCTGCTGATACTGCTGCTGCCGTCGCAGCGTCCGACATGACAGATAAATCATTGATCACGCTTAATCGATATGCCGCGTGCTACATGAATATTACATCACCTGTTCGCGGTGGCTGTTCTCTGTCTGTTATGTGACACCCCCCTGCTGGTCCCCCACCGACGCAACCGTCCCGCTAATAGAAGTACCCCTCCCCCATTTTCAAACATCACGTCCGCGTCGGTCAGTGGGATAAAATTCATTAATAAAAAAATAAAAAAATAAAAAATTTAATTAAAATTAATAAACGTTAATTATTAATAAACGTTAAATAATCAACGAACTTTAAACAAACAATGAAATCTTCCAGCTCCAACATTAAACGTTAAATCATTTATTTAACGTTTAATGTTGGAGCTGGACGATTTCATTATGTTGGATTAAAGTACGTTGATTTTGATCGGTGTTTCGCAAACCGAGGATGCGGATTTTGTAGAGAGCGAGCAGCAGTGAAAGCGCAGGAGGACGAGACGAAACGAAAGAAAAATAGAAAGGAAAATGAAAAAAAAGAAAGGAAAAAATGGAAGAAAGTTTTAACTAACCCAGAAAATTCCGATTAAGCTGCGCATAAAAAAATGATTCGGCGAATACATTCAAATTTGTTTAAAATATAATTCAATTTGCTTCAAAATTGCTTCAAATTTACCTCCGCTTACATGAGCTTACATTAATTAATTGATTATGTTGTGTATGGTTTGTTAATTAAACGATCCATGTAGCTAGGTAATGCACCCCGCTACGCTCTGTGGCAGGTTTCACATTCGTGTGCTGAGGATTTCTGCGTGGAATAAATGGAAAACTAATGTCATAGAAACAAAAATCGAACCACAGCAGCTACTGACATCACCTGGGTTTTCGCTATCGACGTTATGCAGGCATTTTGGCGTTTTCCGTCTTTCTACCAACCTCTTGTTCAAAGATTTCAAGGGTGAACATGATTGTCACAGAGTTGGTGATAATTCAGAGGCAGCTGCTGGTATCTCCTCGCTCCAGGCTGTCGGTGCCAGGAGGTGAACACTGAGTGCTGCTGCAGCTTCGGTATGAGAGCTGTAGAAAGCAGAGAGGAGAGTGTGTAAAGCTAGATCATTCATCAGCGAAACCTCGACAATTTGCTAAAGCAAACACGCTGCCTAACCCTGGCACGTGGCTGGGGGATGTCGTAACTTGCATTATACTGGTCATCATACTTGCATATACGTGGTAGAAGTGTCGTTCATCGTTAATTAAAGAGAGATCGTTAAGTCATCGTTAATTAAAGAAAATATCGCTAGTTTATCGTTAATTAAAGGAAAGATCGTTAGTTCATCGTTAATTAAAGAAAGATAGTTAGATTGCAATGAAAGACTGCACGTAGTGGTCTATTTTAGAACGGATTTCTGGAATATGCAAGAGTCTTTTTCTTCTTGGTGCTGAAATGGCTGCGATACGACGCTTTTAAAAGGAAATGTCGAGTAAAAAAATATTTCGAACGATAAAATGTTCGTTCAAACGAAAAAATCTTGGTTCGAACGAACTTTTTCTCCATTCGAACGAACTTTCAAACGAACTTTTTTGGCTCGAACGAACTTTAAAAAAATTGTTTGCACTCCTATCCTTTTAAAAGCCTCGTTTCGCATCGCGCGAAGTCGTAAAGATTTCAGCCATTTAACTTTTATGACCTTGGAGTATTTACGAGTGTGCCTTGTTTCAGTGTCCGCAGACTGCAAGCGTCGATTTATGATTAAGTTAACGAATATTGAAATCACACGCGCCTACTTATGTAATTAAAAAACAATGCCTGCCCCTTTTTGTTCAACGATAAATGTATAATTAATACGCTGCAGTTAATAATTCAACAGCAAACATCAGGGAATATTACGAACTAGGACGTTCACAACAATAGTACCTTATCGGTACCAGCGGTGCGTGGTTAGAAGCACACGACGAGGTTTCAAGACAGATTTACAGTCGCTCTTTATATAATAATGCTTATGTATAACACCAAGAGCGTATAAAGAAGGAATAATTACTTCTTAATACCTCTTAATACCTTCTTAATACGCTCTTAATACCTTCTTAATACGCTCTTAATACCTTCTTAATACGCTCTTAATACCTTCTTAATACGCTCTTGATAACACTCTTGTACGGAAAGAAGAAAGCATTATTAGAAATCGCAGCTGGGGGTAGAGGTAGCTAAACGTGTTGACACATGTGCAGCAAGTTGCCAGCAAATTGCTGTGTTTAGAAGCATCGTCAGGCCATTACTGTGAGCTAATATAGTGACATGCTTGACACCATAACAAGAGCATCACCTCTTATTGCATCTGGGGAGATTATAGATGCATCACAGGGTGTCATAATATATAGGCTCATGTTATTTAGGCTTAACGCGAAATGACACACGGAATGTGCCGTCATACTACGTGTAGATATTATAGATGTTACCAGAAGTGAATAATAATAGATCATTATATAATATGATCTAATCTATCATAATATCTTATATATTATATTGTAATCTATTATATTATCTCGTAGTATCTCTTATCATCTCACGATGTTGCAATTATTATAGCCCCACACACGCCGCAGCCCCGCTGTAGTGCAGTCTCTTGGTTAGTCCGCTGCCCAGCTATTATGTCAATTAAAAGCAACAACTCATAATTATATAACCATAGGCGCATTGGTTAGGATTATTAATACATGAATAGTGATCAGAATTTGGATCACACGCGTGTATTACAGTTTACGAGAAGAATAAACCATTTTTAAGCCTCACCAGTATAGAAATAGGACTGCATATATCTTTGCGTATCGAATAAATTATAATTGCTAAAAGTAAATGACTGTTTAATGGAATATTACACCAATTTATTTCATTTTTTCCGTGCAATGCATCACCGCATGTGCTTTAACTGCATCTGTGTCCGAAATGAACCGACTGCGACGGCAACTGATCATTCGTGCATCATCGGGTATTTCCGTCAATGCCGAACATTAGCATTCGCACTGGTCCGAATTGGAAGATAGCAATTTTCGCAGGAGACGCCAAGCATTATCGGGAGAAGCTACGGCGTCGGCTATTAGCGTTAATTTTGTGATGCAAACGTTAAAATGTGATTGATGGTGACGCATTATAGTGATGACATGTCGATTTGGCAGGATATCTACGAGATGTGCTGACGTTACCACTCCGTGGTAAGATGATATTCCTGTGATCGCAGGTGATATAACATAAGGTAGGCGTATGTTGTTATTGTTGTTGTGGTTGTTGACGTTGGGTTGCTGTGGCAATCATGTATGTGGGATTGTGTGTGGCGTGTGTCCTTGTGCTGTGTTGTACATGTATGTGGTCTGCGAGTGCAATGTATTGACCGTGGTTTACGTGTGTGAATGAGCGAGTGTGTGAGTGAGTGCGTTGGTGCGTGTACGCGCGTGTGTGCGCGAGTGCGTGTATGCGTGTGCCGCTGTATCATGCAAATCATGTCCAAGTTGCATAACCGTGTGGAGCTCCGGGTCTCATTCTCTGAAATGTGGTGGCACGCCCTTTAAAAGCGACAGCTAGGGGTCTTCTTCAGGGTATTGCCTATTCATATCTACCAAGAAATATGTCCTAAATATGTCTACTAAGTAAGAAATAGGGGCTCTTTTATTCTTGTTGTTTGTGCACAGGGCGTGCGTGCGGTGTACTTGTGTGTTGCAGATGAGCATTTGAACGGCATTTACAGCAAGTTATCGACATTACAATACAAGTTACAAGTTACAATAATAGGCGAAATAGAGTAGAGAAACATTAAGACTTTGGTAGTAAATACATTTCGTGTTTATTTACCTTTTATTATT